TTCTGAAAGGAAGCACTGATTTGAATAAACTCACATGGACTTGTTATACCACAAAAGCCAACGGATTGGATATTCCTTAGTTTTCATAACAAAAAGAGATCATTGGTACAAACACTAAATCTCAAGCACTTACATTGTTAGGACCCTCGAGCAAAAGTTCTTTGTACCAGCCGCCTGTTGTAATAAATTCCTTTAAAAGAAAGCAAGGTCCTGTTTAGATACCGAACCTTACATAGCCTCTCAAGGATAACTGTGCGCCGAATTCAAGGTAAAATCGATGGTGCTTTTTGCCCCATCCGTATCAACCACAAAAGTACTTTATTATGCTAATTTGATAAGTGATACGCTTTTGTTTAAACACGTTTAAAGCTATAAACAAATTTAAACAATTTCAATGGCGGGTCTGGCCAAGTCCTAATTACTTGTAATTACTTCACGCATGAATAATAAATTACCTTCCGTAACAGAAATCCCGCCGAAATCACCGTTCATATGTGAACAGAGGCTCTATCCCATATGGTTTTTTTAAGGCGCAAGAGCTATCCGGCATAGAACGAACATAGCCTAACTCACCTCGTAAGCCGCTGTTCTCATGAATTGTTTCGCGGGCGCCCTCCAGATGGCCGGAACAGTTAGAACCCACTGAATGTCTTCTTCTAGAATCCTGGTTGCTGATTGGTCAGACAGCTCTTCTAACACGTGATCCTTGAAAAACGTCAGAGCATGCGCGAAAACTTTCACTGCCTTAACTGACTTGCCGTTAGCGGCCTTTATTTCTACATCTCTGTGAAGATCCTTTGACAAAGAAAAGGTTGAAAAAGTATATTACAGTTTATTATTACGTCCCCTTGTTGTTTTCTTCTTCTATCACAACCTTTATATAAACAAGTATAATTTCTGCTGGTTCTAATGAAGAGAATTTGTTTTTAAAAAATCTAGGCATCACTGCATCTTTTAGATAGTTACACTAGATAATGCAGACCATTTCAATGGGATATTACATCCTCGTCACAAGCGGAGCCGGCAGAATATAAGAAACCTACAAAGGTCGTCTTAGAGATACTTATTGTCGTTTCTTTCTTCGACTGCCTCAGCTATGATGGTTGTTTATGTAACTGATAGTCCCTTTTAAATAAAGAATTAAACAAAGAAAGACAGCTTGTAGATAGCTGTCAGCTTGATAAGTGGGAAGTAAACATCATCTCTAAATCAAGGTCTTGACTTTTGAAATGCTGTCTATGCCCCGCCACTTCTCATTAATATTTCATTTCATTGCGTTCCTCGAATTATAAACATTAAATAACTTATTGCAATATCTCAGTGTTCATTATCAACATGCAAAACTAAAAGCTCGCGTTCATGCAGTTAAGAATACATTTTTGACATTTCAGTCTTCCTCAACAGTAGTGCATAGGAATTTTCAGCTCATAACTTTTACGATGGTTTGTTTTTAAAAAGTAAGAAGTTTTTGTATCCATTAACAAATTCGAAACAAATACTTTCTTTTTTCAAGAAATATAATATTGCCAAGATACCTAACAATTCGAAATGACATAGTTTGCCGCCTGATTATTTGCAACCCAAAAATGTCCAATGCCAGGCCGAACCAGGTAAAAGATCAAAGACCGTTCATGTGTATATACTGCAAACAGAAAAACCTAAACCAATACCAAAATAAACAGCTATTTCAGGTATTTTGTAAATGGCAGTTTTGCAAAGAACGTAAGCAAATAATAAAAGCATTACCTTGTTTGAATGCAAAGACATCTTAAATTTCTCAAAATACATCCATTTCTTCGCATCGTCCGGTTCAAGATCGTGATAAAAATCCCGCGCGCCGAATCCAAAAGAGTGGAAACTGCCATCGGGTTTTAATAGCAAAGTTGTCGGTGTTTTTTGATTTGTTACTCCCGGGTCTCCTCCTTCCCATCTCCGCATCATGTGAACGCTTTCGGGTTCCCGTGTAAACGCAAAAGCATAGCCACTAAAAGTTGTCCCAAAGTCTATTGCCACCACAACAAAGTAGTTGTGCTGCGGGATGTGAACGTCTTTGACTGGAAGTCCGGAATCGATCGAGGCCGGAAGCGAATCAGAGTCTATCGAAGGAGATCGGGACGTTCCCTCGGAGAAATGTCCGTTTTGCGAAGATGTTGAAGCAGAACTCGAGCACGTGTCCATGTTTCGATTGATTTGATGAGAAATTGAGTTTTCACTTGATTTAGGACTACCTTGATTTGGTTCATTTATATTTCCTTTGTTATCTTCACTCGGTTTTGAAACTTCGAAGTCTTGGCTTTCCTTTACTTGACCGAATTCTAAATTTTCCTTCTGTACCGGCGAAGTTTTCATGCCAAATGGTCCTTGATAGTACCCATGGTCAACAGATGCATTTCCTTCTTCAACGCTCTCCGCTCCCTTTGGTGCAAAACACATTTCTTCTTCGGAGTCCATGTCCTCAAAGTCCTTTATTAAGCTGTCAGCTAGTTGTTCCAGTGATGTGGAGCACACGCTGGGCGAATCGGAAAATCGTCGTGGCGAGCCGATGGTGCATTGTTCCAACAAAGCGCGCTCCTCCTCTGTTAAAGGAAAATCGAACGGAGTTCCTTGCTCCGTGTTACCATCGACGCAAATGGATGGTAGCGGTTGACTCAAATGATCAAATTCTCCTCCGTTATCGAGCATTCCCAGTTCATCTTTGATTTTTCGCAACTCAAACTCACTTAGTGACGGTGTTATTTGGTTGTTATTCCCTTCGAATCTGAATTCGTCGAGTTTCGTCAGTTCGCTGTCAAGGTTTCCCGCGGTGTTAATTTGTTCTTCACTTTCCATGGTCGCCTGGTGTGAGCTTTGTAGTTCGCTGTTGACTAAGAGGTTAAAAATTTCCTGTAAACGAAACTACGAGAACGGATACATCAATGATGTTATTAACTCGAATTCCTTCGATTAAGAATATTGACAAGGGAAGTTATTTTGAATGTACAATATCACTCATTGAAAATAAAGCATTCTGAAAGGAAGCACTGATTTGAATAAACTCACATGGACTTGTTATACCACAAAAGCCAACGGATTGGATATTCCTTAGTTTTCATAACAAAAAGAGATCATTGGTACAAACACTAAATCTCAAGCACTTACATTGTTAGGACCCTCGAGCAAAAGTTCTTTGTACCAGCCGCCTGTTGTAATAAATTCCTTTAAAAGAAAGCAAGGTCCTGTTTAGATACCGAACCTTACATAGCCTCTCAAGGATAACTGTGCGCCGAATTCATGGTAAAATCGATGGTCCTTTTTGCCCCATCCGTATCAACTACAAAAGTAGTTTATTATGCTAATTTGATAAGTGATACGCTTTTGTTTAAACACGTTTAAAGCTATAAACAAATTTAAACAATTTCAATGGCGGGTCTGGCCAAGTCCTAATTACTTGTAATTACTTCACGCATGAATAATAAATGCCGACTTCAGAATATGTACCATCTAATGTACATTAGAAAAAATGGAACCGAAATATCAAGAAAATATGAAAGAATAAGATTTGGCCGAAAGAAAAACGAAGGGAAGGGAAACAACCGGAATCAAATAAGAAGTACGTCATGGATCTCAGCGTCATGTAATTTTTTCAAAAAGATATTTCCTTGATTGAAATTGTCGTCAGTTTTGTTGCGTCATGAACTGAAGTGCGCCTTTCAAGAATGTCGAGAATATCTATTCAAGATCTGACGAACTGTTTGTTTTTAGCCTCGTTCGCAGCAGGTAGAATAACAAATAAAGGTAAAAAAGGACATAAACACCAGCAGAGGCAGAATCCAAAATTTCAGTTCTATTATATACCAAAGTAAGCCCAAATACTTTACATAAATTTTGAAGAAAAGTTGTAAACTTAAAACAAGTAGGAAAACACAAACAACTTTCAGCCATCGTCTCTATTTTTTGTATTTTAATAAATTTTCATTTTATTATGTATTACAATTTTTTACACTCTGACCCTTATGAACACATGGAAAAAAACACAAAAAAAAGGAAAGAAAACGAAACATCGCACACACACACACACACAATTACATACTGATAAAAAAAAGAGCCATCGTCTCTGCAACATCATAATTTAACTTTAATTCATAATATTTTGAAGGCGAAGTTTGAAATTAAAAGACCTGAGGTTTTTCTTGCTTGAAGAACAGTGTAGACTGTATTAGAATAAAATATTGGCTCATGATCAGAGACTCATCAGGACACACTAAAGAAGCGATAAACAGTGGATTAATAATTCCTCATCTGCCGATAAAATAAGACCCTACAGTGCGATTGTCACTTCCTTTTTGACATGGACCAGTTTGCGAAAATTTATTAACACAGCTGGCAAAAGCGCCTTAAAAACCGTGAAAGTGCTAAGTTTGAGAGAGAGAGAGAGGAAGAGAGAGATGTTGATATCTATTTGCGACCACCATTAATCGGACGTATGTAAAATTCGGTGACTTTATGGAGCTACACTTCTTTCTGACATAACACTCTCAAACTCGGCAAGTTTACTAATTTCAACCGAGGCGCTCCGCATCTACCACTGTTGATGGATTTTCCGAACTTTTCCTAAAGTTGCAAAAATTAGTGGAGGGGTCTTTTCAAAATGAGCCGTACACATTGTAATACAAGGCTTAACTAAGTCAACAAGAACCGAGGTGATCACCATGGCGGCAGAGTAATGTTATGGAACAAGCTGAAGTAATTTACATTTCGGCAATAGCAACTTCACATCAAGAATATTAGTGAATGGATTGACTAATTTTCCTTTTCCTTTAGAAAACGCCCTCTTTTTATCCATAATGTGTAAAGAGCATTAAGAGAGATTATCCATCGATCATTATTGTTATGCGAGAACAAAATAACGTTTAATAATGAGATCCAGCTTCCAATGAAATCATCCGGACTTCGTAGTGAGGTTTGTCTGAAAGAATTCTTAGTTAATTAATTAACATTTGAGTGCATTTGAAAGGTACAGAATGTCAAAGGGTCGGTCGAGTTTGCCTCCAACAAGAGCCAACTCTAGGCAAAATCGATCGAATTCTTTTCCTGAAAATGACAATCTTCAACCACCGACAAAAACGAATCGAGGAAGCCGAAGCTTTGATACCAAAGCTTCAAAACCGGAACAAGACTCTTTAGAGGACGGCAAGATTCTGGTTCTGAAAGTTATTGGCAAGGTAAACTTGCGTATCGAGAGAAAGGAATACCAAGAACTTACAAGAATACTTAATCAAATTCCTGGAGATGTTCTGGTGCTCATTTTGGATAACTTGTCCATCGAGAGCCTTTACGCTGATATTCCAAGCAGCTTAGCTTCGTTGGCAGCGCTTTATTCAAAGATTTTTTACGATCGTCAGGGAAAACTTCCAGATCACGGATTTTCCAGCGATGATTTTGTCCACCGGCTCGTTCGGTATTTCGTGGATGTTCTCAAGTATAACAATCAGACGTTCGCGAGCGCACGTTCACGAGAGCATATTAAAACGATCTTCAAAGTTTGCGCGCAGATCGATAATTCCCTTCATGAAAGAATTGTTCAGAGAGTGGAGCAGCTTTCGAAAGCTTTGAAAGGATTTTCCGAGAATTCTTTGCTCGAGACAATGACGCGATCATCGGCAACTCGTTACATGAGAATGCCCGAGGCTTTGAAGTCTGAATTAGAGTGGGCGATAAACCATTACAAATCCTCCCTTCAAAGATTGGCCGATGTCTTATTAAGCATGCCAGATAATCATGGTGAGCTAGATTTATCTTCTTCTGCACACAACAAGGTAGATATCGATGAAAAGACGATTCAGTACATGAGAAAACTGTCGAGGAAAACCATCGAGGACAGACTGTCTTTTAATCAATCTCTACTGTCTGCAGTACAGGAAAGTTCAAGGGACAAACTACTGATAAATGGGTTAATCGACAGCTTAGGAACACGCATTAACCACGATAAAGAGGTAAGAGCGCTATTCTTTACAATAAAAACAACAACAACAACAACAACAGAACTTGTAATAAGTACAATTAAGTGCTATAAGATGGAATATTCTAATTAGTAGTTTTCGTACGTTGAAGATTTTTTTGCGTGAGTAATTAAGGTTGGTCCGCTCGTGCTCATATAACTATGAATACAAATACTGTCTCATACAAACGCTGCTCTCATTGAACGACCAAACAAATGTGTTAACAAACTTTGGGTAACTTAAACGTAACCTTTGTTTGCATCCTTTCTAACAATATGATGATGTGTTCAAGGACTAGTTTCCTTGCATAAACATTATTAAAAAGGAATATCATGATTTTGATATAGAACCTTTGATTTGTTTGGTGACGGATAGCAAATAGACTGCGAGCAGGCTTCTTTTTTGTTCCAGACTGCTCTTGTTCGAAAATCTGTGAGAGAGTGGGATATTTGAGTATTCGAGCAGCAAAGCCGCAAGCAGCGCCATTGTTTTGCAAGCGTCAGTACGCTCGTACGGACGCCCTCACCACACGCTGCACGCGATTCTCACATATTCCACTCCCCCACAGATTTTTGAGCAAAAGAGAGACTGCTCGGAGTCGAGATAGCAAAGGGAGTGACATTTTTAAAAGCATTCACTACAGTTGATAGCCTGCGTGGCAGGCGCAAAAAAAGGGCGGGACGGGGAGGGGGAGAAAAGCGCGCTAGGGAAAAGGGAAAATTCTCTCTCCCTAATCCTTCCTTTCTCTTCCCCCCTTTCGACGCCTGCCACGTAAGCTATGCAGTTGATAACCTTTTGTAAGCATATGACACAGGCGATTAGAGAAGGAAACCTCCCCTTTCCCGTCATTTATCCCCTTCGACTTATAACCATACAAATCTTGTACTACAGTTTGTGTTAGAATTTACCTGCTTACTTTGTTAAGCAGAGAAGGCGTTTAACTTCTATTGTTGAATAACCCTCAGGACACATTGTTAACCATGGGACAACTGATTTTGTGGTCTGGTTGTAGCAGTTATAAATTGAGGCAGTTCAATGAAGTCATGAGTCGAATCATGTCATCAGGGAGGTCATATGCTATGCAGTTGGATCGCAAAACAGTCCTTATTTTTGCGTATTCAAGTACACGCAAACAGTCAAACAAAAGGTCTGGAACGAGGCTGAAAACGGAGAACGAGGCTGGGGAAAGACGCTAAAAATACGTGTTTTTTCTCTCGCGTGTGAGGCTAACGCGCTTTACCCTCGAGAGGCTCTTACGTTACTATTACGCTACTCTAAACCGATTTTTTGTTTTATGCAGTGCTTACTTTTGTCAACCTCAATGTAGAATTCGTTATGTTTCAGGTCCTTCAGCTTTTGAGTGCACTAAGAAAAGAATTTAACGTGTCACTTGACGAACAAGTGTTACCGCTACTCGAGAGGTTTCATCACGGTTACCGCCTGGTATTACAACTGTTAGAGGAGTCGCTAAAGGATGTGGCTACACTGAAGGTACCCACTATCACTCGCACCATGGCTAGTGATTCGGAGTCTGGTGACGTCAGTGAAGATGGATCAGATGTGTTCGACACTGTTACGCAACTGGATGATGATGAAACAGGTAAGGTGTTACCTCAGTGGCTCAATTAAGGTTGATTGGCTTGTTTACCAGGCTTTCATAGCGGATCAGGTATTTCATTGAAGTATCTGACAAGTCACCCGCAACGAGTTAGCCGCGCACAACGCCGCGCACAGTAGTAGTAGTGAGGCTAAAGGAGTAGGGAGGGCCTTTAGTCTGCGTGCAAGCTCTCAGGGGTGCTTTGGCGGCGGGGCGGGAAAAGGAAGGAGAGCCTGCAACTACGATTCTGGGATTTGAATACCGAAAAAGTCGATGTGAAATGCTCATTGGCGGAGATGGCATGAGTAATGATGTCTTTACCCTTGGCGCGTGCTTTCACGTGTTTTTCAATGTTTGTTTACATTCGCGCTCGTGTCCGCTTCGCGCTGATTAGCGGAAATTTGACAGCTCAGTTGACGGGAAGACACAGGGGAATTGGAGGCGAAATTCAAATTCCAAAGAGAGACGTAGTTGCAAGCTCTCCTTTTTTTCCCGCCCCGTCTCCAGAGCACCCCGGAGAGTTTGCTCGTAGGCTAGGAAGCCCTTAAGATACAGTAACAACCAGCAAATAAAAAACTTCGACTCAAGAAGTACGGTACTTCCAGGCTGAACTTCGGTCAAACTGTAAATACTGATCACATAAGTTTGTTTTCGGTGTTAATAATAATAATAATAATAATAATAATAATAATAATATTCATAATATTGATGATCATGATCATGATCATATTTATATCAATAGTAAACCATATCTAAAGAGGGAAACAACAGCCAGTTGACGTTGATAAACTTATAGCCCTCTACGATACATAAGAACCACTCTTCTTTCTACTAAAGAACCATTTGGGCGTCTTGCAGAAAACTATTTTTTTACTGTACTTTAACAGCCTCGTCCCTTTGGCCTTACGGTTTAAACGGCTCTTCGACATAATTCAAAGTTAAAAATTAATAAATAAACACACCTAGATCGGTCAAAACTCTTGACATTTTTGAAAAATGTATAAAAAATTCAATATTGTCGATTTTCTTCAATTTCTTTACAGAATTTTCCGCGCTTAGCTCAAGTGAGACTGAACAGGCGGAAAGGGTAAAGCCAACACAACGTAAACAGTCGAGTCCAAACGTTAATGGGAAAGAAACAAACCAACAGCAAAAAGATATAAATGCCGACCTTCAAAAACAACTCCAGAATAAACAAAAGGAGCTTGAAGAAGCACAGGAAATGGTTCAACTCCTAAGAAAAAGAGAGAAAAATCTGACTGACAGGTAAAAAAAGAAGCATGTAAATTCATTGGATATTACAGTCATGGAGGAAAGTCAGTAACAATAGCTTTGTTTATTCTATTTAAGGCTACAGGACCAGGCACAGAGACAGTTGAAAAAAGGCGGGAAATTTGAGGATCTGTCGGCAGGCGAGTGTCGCCCGTCCGCTCTGGTAGAACGCTATGACAACCTCTACACCCAGACGAGGCTAGATGCTATGGACGAGCTTGATGAGCTGGAATCTCTAGATAAAGTGGACGACAGTGGAGACATCAAAAACAAAATATTGATTTCAGTTTTGGTGGTAAGTACCATAATCTTCATTTGCATTTGCAGTTGTGATTCGTTCAAAAAAGTTGTTATAATCTACTTAAAATGAGTAAAAGGCCAATGAGAACCCCTAGAGAGTCTGCTTGAAGAAATTTTTCAGGGAAAGAGCAAGTTTTTGTGAGGACGAGCGACTGGTTGGGCAAATGATTAGTGTACCGCAGCTAAGAGTCACGAACGCTTCTCGGTCGGCCAAGAGGCATTTGAGACTTTAAAAAAAAATCGCTACGGTGACCATATGACCTCTACTGCGGCCGTCGTGGAGTCCTTGGGAGAGTACGTCACCGTAGCCCACCTAGTTCCATGCCTCGCACGGCCAAAACCGAAAATCCCGTTCCCTGTCGTCCCCCGGTCTTTCTTTGCTCCGTAACCACGCGAAAAGGCTTGCTACGCAGGCTATAGCCCACCAATGTCAACTTTAAGCAAGAGGAGTAGAAAGAGTGAGTGGAGCGTTTCTCACTCACTTGCCTTCACTGTTAATAAGTTGTAATGACCTCCTTTAGAGAAGCAAGAGATGTTATTTTTCTCTCTTACGATCAAGAACTAACAGTGACGAGCAGTGTTTGTTGCTGTGTGCTGGATTCGTGCAAGCCTCAAAACCTGGATTTTCCTTACGACTTGTACACAGCATTTGACCTCGGTTGAGGATAAGAAATTTAAACTGAGATAACGCAAGGAAGACGTAATTCCTGGAAAACCAGAAGCGTCAAATACTTTCTTGATAAAGTAAAAAACAATCTATGACAGGTTTTAAAACAGGTGATCGTAAAAAAAGGAAATAGGAGAAAAGTCGACTTTCATAATCACGTAGCAGCGACTACGCCACAATACAGGTCTTCACGTTGTTGGACTTGGCGCTCCGACTAAAAGCCATTTTCATGCAAGCGCACTGCGTCATTTTTGGGCTTTTTTACCTTCGGCCGCCGTAGTAGAGGTCGCCGTGGCCCTCCTCATTCACAGAACTATTCCTCAATCTCCATGGGTAAGAGCATGTATCCCATCATACTTCGTGGGGTCTCTTTAGAAACAACGCCTTTAACTCGAACCAATGATGTTAAAGGTGTTTGTGTCCATTCTGGTAGGTGGCATACCGCACGGTACAACACTCACTGACCGAAAAGCAAACTAAGCTCAAGAAAATCCTAGGTATCCCGGATGACGACAAGATAGCAGGGCACGCGCAGGAAATGCAAGACCGCATTGCTGACTACTTAAGGATAACGGGGGCACGATTGAAAATTGACAGTATCAAACAGGTGAGTTGAGAACTTAAGTGAATGCCGAAAAAGTGGATGATTATTTTGGTTAACTTGTTGAGGGTGAACGCAAACAATTAATCCTTTCCAAATAGCTGTGAAAGCATCCTTAAGGAAGCAATTGATTATTCAAGCTCGATTTTAAAGTGTAGATTGTTTTGTGGTATTTAAAACAGTGCCGACGGAGACAACCCCAAGCAATAATGACGAAAATCTTGAAGATGAGACTCAATCTAAACATTTTGTTTGACTTAGAAAAGTTGTATTTTTATGTGGACGGAATAAACAGTTTCGACAGCGGGACACGCGGGTTCAATCAGCTGTTTTCTTTCCGAGAGACCACGTGACATTGCTTTAACCCCACCATTTCGTACATGCGTAAAAAGGTGGCGAATAACTTCATAAGGAGATTTTTAACATTTCTTTTCTTTTTGGCCTTAAAGGATGTAAGCAAACAGCTATGGAGCACCTTGTACGATTTTCCAGAATTACAAAACTGTGTGAAGTTAAAAGAATACATGGATAAATGCGTTCGCTTGTCATGGATGCTGGCAGTTCAAGTTCCACCAATGAGCATTGAATACGAAGCCACAGAGTTCTCAGAGAAACTTCATGGACGGTTCATGACGTCTGACATGACGTCTCTCGAAATAAAGTATCACGTGTGGCCAGCTTTGATCGACTCGAAAGCCGGTGTTGTGCTTTATAGGGGAACTGTAGTGACATGAATTAAATTATTCCACTGGGATCGGTTCAATAGAATAAAGACTAGTTCAACAATAAATTATTTAATTGCAATGTTCGTGAACGATCATTACATGTAACTGCTGGTCTTTTGGTGCCAGCAGGTTTCCCTTTGTTAACATGCGCACGGGAGCCTCGTGATTGGCGTGCACGATGCCAGCGTAAAATAATCTCAAGTGTTTTGTTAACCCGTGTTGTCAAGGTTTTTCCTCGCGTTAATCGATTTCTTTCGACGTAATTCTAATCGATACTTGTGATCGTCATTTTGTGGGGAACTTCTGAATCACTCAGAGACGCTTCATGTATGATTAAACGTTCAAGTTGTTGTTTTATCGTGGTGGATGTCAAGGTGTGCTGCCATTCGCAGCTACACGTCCTTTTTCATTATTGCTCATGTGCGTGTTTTTTGCAAAGCGCTTTTGAGAAGAATGGGGAAAACGGTCAAGTTCAGATCCTCGTGGCTTGATTTTTTTTTGCTCGAGGGTTTCACCGAAAAGCTTTTGCGCCCTCTAGATAGCATGCATACACTCTAGATGCCACCTACTGCGCAACCTATTGAAATGATGTCTTTTGTGACAGTCTATCACGTGGTCACCAAAGTGCCTTTAAGGGGGAAATTGTGTTCACTTCAGTTCTGTTTCTTTAACAACGTCAGGGGCCTCTGAGCTGCATAAAACCTAACGTTAGAAGTAAAAGGTTGACGACTAACGTAAACCTCAAATCAAATACTGCACATTAACGCCAAAAAGATGACAGCCTTTTTTACGGCGTCTGAAGTGGTCCCATGGGCGGAGCTAGAATTTCTTTCTAGTGAATAGCAATGAATCAAGCGCTGTTGCTGTTACAACTACTTTCTTGAAGGGATTGGAGACATGCTCAGGAATAGCGTTTCCCAGGAACAAAGAAGTGGTAGAACGTTTAGGGCGCATTTGTCAGAGGGGGGTGAGAATATTTCGTTATGAAGAAATGATAATAGTATGATAATAGACTTTTCAGTCTGCGGCGCAGAAGCAAAGTTTTGCGCTAGCAGTATCTAACCTCTGTTTTCCCCCTCTTCCCATCCCCACTCCTGGTAGTAACGCCTAGCTATTCCTCGCATGAAAGGAAACGAGAGATGTGCATCACAAACTCCCAACACACGAGCCTAATCGCAAACTAAGAATCGATGAGCTACTGCTGTAAGACTTGAAGAATGCATTACATTCCTTTCCATGAAATCTGACTTGACTCGTATTTTTATCGTTTGCCATAAGGTAGACTCAATAATCGCGAGACGCCATAGATGTGCATCCACGCTCGACTGTTGTGTTTAAAAAATCTCCTTAGTTGAAAGGATGTTCGTAAGGCCAAGTCTTCCGTTTTGCTTTGGCTCCCATCCCTCATTTGTTTACTCGCCTTATCCCTAAATGGAGGGTTAGTAACGCTATCATCAGTAGCCTCGCTAGAATCAGATTCAGCATGTTTTGCATACAGGTGTCAAGTGAAAATCAATTTGTATATGTTGTAGTTAATTTTTTGTCTCAGGTAATTTTTATTTTTCTTTTGTTTCAACTTTATTAGCATACATTACCATACCCAAAAACAAAAGAGAAACAAAAATTACCTGAGATAAAAAATTAACTACAACATATATGTTGAATAAACAAATTCAGAAATCCAGGAAAGGTTGTTACACAGAAACCAGAACTTGTTTCTCACGAAATACAATGAACTGTTGTTGTAGATGGATTATGCTCCTTAGCAGATATACAAGCAGTTTCCTTTTTTTCCAAGTCATAGGGTGGCATCCATCAAATGCCCATTTTCCCGTTGCGTAAGCTTGTTATGAAGCTCTCGTTTTTCATCTCTCGTGGCCTTGACGCTCATTGCTTGCCTGGTAAGCACGTTATAAGACCACCTTTGAAGAAAAATAAGAGACTTCTCGCGGCGACTTCTCGCATTCTATTCCTCATAAACTGACAAATAATCTCATGAAGAACATGTCAAGTGTGTAAATAATTATCGTATGAAGGGTTTTATTAACGATAAAAAATAGGGTGAAATAAAGTTTGTACCAAACTGCAGGTAACATCGATATTTACAAACTTGCTCAAAGAAGATTAAAACTACAGTAGCTCGATACACAGCCTAAAAACCTTGAGCACTTGTGGAAAGGACACGACCACAATTAACGGCACGCATTCCAATAAGTTGTTACCAAGAAAACGCCATGCAAAAACACAAGAGAATAATAAAATTTACCAAATATTTTTTTCAATTGCAGGGAGTTGAATAACCAACCTATCCTATGTTATTAAATTAATTTAGCATCAAAGCTATTTATTTAATTATCTGAATGCGACTGTCTCCAAAATTAGACACTACTATCCTACCATCAGACAGAACTGCGGTAGAGATTGGTAATCTAGTCGCACTTATTAGTTTAAACTTTTTTATGAACTTTCCACTCAGTTCTAATACCTGAATTCTGTTATTCGCAGAATCAACGACCATTAGGTGCCCTGCTTTGTCAACTGATAAGCAGCGTGGATTATCGAATTCCCCATCCCCTTTCCCTTTATTCCCGAATCTATACACAAAATCACCTTCTGTATTAAACACTTTGATACACTGATCATGATCACCGGTGTCTGATACAATGAAATATTGATCCTTCTGAATACAGTGAAGGGGATCAACTAATAAATCTTCTCCACCAAACTTTCTAAGAAACTGACCGCTTGGAGTGAAGATCTTGATTAGTTTGTTATTTGAATCAGCAACAATAATATTACCATCACTGTCTACAGATATGCCCCATGGAAAATCAAACTGGTGATCAACACTTCCTTCACCACCAATTTGGGTAAGGTACTCCCCCTTTCCAGTGAATATTTGCAGTCGGTTGTTACCACTGTCAGCCACTACAATGTTCCCATTATCTAAATAAGCTATACCAGTAGGGTAATCAAACTCTCCCTCTCGATAACCCTTACTACCAAAAGACCTTAAGTAAGTTCCGTCACTACTAAATATCTGAACTCGGCCATTTAGTTTTTCAGTTACTGCAATCTCGTTACGTTCATTCACCGTGACACCCCAAGGTCCATCAAACATTCCAGCAGATGAGCCTTCTTCTCCAAACGACAGCACAGGTGTGTATTTTCTGGGTTTGACTTGAACAGTAAATGGACTGCCACTAACATGTCCTCCATTTACCATCACTGATGTCTGGCATGTTTCTGCTTCTTTGGCAAAGTAGCTAATATTGTAGCTGCCATCTTTGGTATCTTGGACTTGAGTTTCAGTGGCGCATTCACGGCCGTCATCATTTCTGATTTTTACTGTAACGATATCACACTGTTCGTAGCATTGTTCATTCTCAGCATTTCGTGTTGTCAAAACAAACTGTGCTTCAAGTCCAACAGTCACGTCATTGATTCCATTTCCTTCCGTTTCAGAGTTGCTGGATTTAGTCTGGCTGATGATTTGTTTCAAAGAACCAATACCTTCACTGTTTGCTTTAGCAGTCAGTGATTTGTTTGCAAAGAACACAAAGTGGCAAAGATCCTTACGGTCACAGTCGACTAGTTCTGCCTCGCCAGTGACTTCCGCTTGAAATAATGTGTTAAAGTGCGCAATCTCAGCATTGGAGCTTCGCTTTAGGAAAGTTTCAGTTTTTTCAATTGAAGTCTCGATCCGCTGTAATTCGTTTTCTACGTCCGACTGTTGCTCTACAAGACGCTCGATGGACTGTCGAGCTTTGTCTTCCACCTCTTGAAAAAGTTCCTGTTTCTTCGCGTGAATGACTCTCATCAAACTGTCAACCAAATTCTGTGCGCTTTTTTTCACGCAAGCAACCTGTTCTTGAATTTCATTGCACTCACTTTGTAGTCTAGTTATTACATTTCTTTTCTGAAGCGCCTTCACCTTTTGAGACTCTAACACGGCCTCCAAACGTAATTTTCGTTCATTGGCAGCATCTTGCAAAGGCACTTTGACGTGACCTTCGTGAAGTGTTACAACACAAATGTTACAAATGGCGACTTCACAGTCCTTGCAAAAGAACTTTAGCTTTTTGTTTTCATGATGTTCCTTTTGACAAAATGCTGGCCTCTTTAATACGTCTTCGATGTCTTGATCTTGAAAATCCTTAATCGCCAGCACTCTGTGGTCTTTGTTGGCTCGGATAATGTTATGAGCCGTAATGCAATCGTCGCACCAGAAGGCGCAACATTTAAAACAATAAAAACTTTGGGCCCTTGTTTTATCGCAGTTTCCACACTTCACTCCAGCGACGTTACATTTTTGAATAGCCATTACATCCAACAAACTGTTCATTCGAAAGTTGGCCGGCAAATCTTTAGGATAACCGCTCCCGGGAACCTGAAACTTTCTGCGACATTCCGGGCATGTGATCTCGCCATGTTTGCCACTCGTTCTTTGAAGCTCGTTTAAACAATGAAGGCAAAATGTATGAAAACACGGCAATAGTTTCGGATCAGTGAACGGGCTCATACACACAGAACAGGATACTTCTTCATGTAGGTTGTGTAGTAAGGTTTGCAAATCCATAACCGAATTTGCAAGTTTGAGTGAATGCGCCCGGAAGTGTTATAATCAGGGATTGATCATATTTTCGGCGAAGTTGTTATCATGTTAATTGCCCCTTTGCCCGTCAGGCAACAGACAACACCAACCAATCATGAGACAATGTTTGACATGTTTTGACTTTGCCTGCAATAGCTTGTTAAAGAAAGGACTTCCGACTTTTCTAGGAATTGAGATTAAAGCCCTTGACCCCCAGGAAGTGGGGACAAAATATGGACCAGGGGTACATGGACCCCCATTTTGGACCGGGTCCATGCCCCCCTCAAAAAAATATATATATAAAGTAAACAGAAATGAACAGTAAATTAAGATGCAAATAAACAGTGTCCAACAATATTAGATCGCAAAATTCCGAAAATAAGCCCGGGGCTTATATTTTTTAAAGGCCCCTTCTGAGGGGCTTATTTTTGGAGAGGCTTATACAGGGGCACCCAATGGATCTGTTCCTCAAAATATCTGTTCTTCAGGCACATTTTTGCTGGCTGGGAGATGTGGAAGAAATAATAGTCCTTGGAAGGAAAGTTTTGCTGGGAAAAAGATAATTCAGGGTGTGAGAGGGGATTTGAAGTCTAGAATAGCTGCTACGGGTTACTTGTATGGGTTACTTACCACTCAAGATCTGAATTGTGCCCTATGAAACTTCCCAGTAAGTCGGGTTGGAGGTTGTAAGTTTGCTGGCTGGGAACTCTTCCATCAGTCTTGCTGGGAGTGAGGAACAGATAATTTTTTTCCAGCAGTCTCCCAAAATGCTTAAAATAGTCTCAGAAAACTTTATTCACGCTTTGTTGTTGTTTTTAGGTTTTTTCTCAAAATTTCCCGTTGGGTGCCCCCGCTTATATTCGGAGGGGCTTATCTACCAAGGATAATTTGCGGTTCAAAATTGATTGAGCTAGTCTTATAGTTGGAAGTTATTTTAGTGTGTTTGCTTTAGTATGGTCTAGCTTTGTTTTACTTTGTATTTGAGGGCAATTTTCCCAAGTACAAGCCCCCGGGGGGCTTATATATGGAAGGGCCAATTTAAAGGATGTTTTTTTGAGTTACCGGTTTGGGGGGATTATATGTGGAGGGGGTTATACATCGAGGGGCTTATTTTCGGAATTTTACGGTAGTTTTTGTGACAAACTCAGTGACAATTTCCAGGTTGGCCAGTCATTTTGACCGGTTAAAAGGACGACTTTCAAATAAATAACTAGAATAATAAAAGTACATGGTGTTTACACATGAATTCTGGGAATTACAAAAACTGTTAATCATAAAACACTTTAGCTGCAATCACAAATTTGGAAAATACAGAGGAGACGAGCCACATTGTGCGGCTTTGTAATTTGTTAAATTAAAACAGAATTATCTATGCAGACGGGGCAATATGTTTGTCTTAATTACCTTTTACTTTAAAACAGTTATTTATTTCACCGGTCCAGAGATGACCGAGCAAACATTTGTTGACCGGCCTCCGTCAAAAAGTTATTTTGAGCCCTGTATCTTGTTTGCTATTTATTTTGTTTACAGGTTGTTTATTTATAACACTGTCACACAAGGGGAAATTTCTTCGTGCTTCAGAAGTTATTTCTCGGGTAACAAAATGAAAAGGGGAGGGGAGCATGATCCAGAACAAAAGTCAATTTAATTGTATAAGGAAAAAAGACAACAGCAAAAAGAAAAAAATATCCACAATTAACGCTGAGCAAACACTTACCATTAGAGTCATACAGCCAGGCTGTAAGCATACATCATCATCATTTTGTATAAATGTATCATGTAAGCAGGTGTAAATATCGATTATCAAAACCTCCAAACCTTATTTTTGCATTATTTTGTGGGTCGAAGCACGACATAAGATTTATTGATCATTTCTCCTTTCAATTCCTTCTTAAACAAAAAGTGTTCATGGGCCCGGTCCCAAAGGGGGGGGGGGGGGGGGTCCATGGATCCCATGTCCATGTTTTGTGTCCACGTAACAGGTCAAAATGACCGGCCAACCCAGAACTTGTCCCTGATTTTGTCACTAAAACTATAATACTGTTGGACAATGTTTATTTGCATCTTGTTTATTATTATTTCTCTTTCTTAATTTTTTTTTGAGGGGTCAAGGACCCGGTCCATTACAGGGGGTCCATGGGCCCGGTCCATTAAGTGGTCCATCGACCCAATCCAAAATGGGGGGTCCATGACCCATAACTGGAATCTGAGAAAAGGAAAAATTAATCAGTGATGATGAATGATGAATGAATGATGGTGAACCAGTACAGTCGACGCTTCACGGCATAGGCTTCACTTATGACCTTTTGGCCGTTTTCTCACTCTTCAAAACGTTACTAAAGGACAATGTATAATTATTTAAATGAAATAATTTCAATTTCAGTGTTTTTTGTTTGCACTACCATGGAGCCCCGCTTTACAGACACCCACTTAATATGGACACCGGTAAATAATGGACAGTTCAGTTTGCCCCGACACTGAAAAATCTCATATCCTCACGCAGGAAGTGAAAGAGTGTGTAGGGATGTCTTGAAAATTGTTGCTATCAATAACTGACTAGTAGTGACCATTAGCTAAGATGCGCCGTTTTCCTAATTTTCCGTCTGCTCGATTTTGTTATCTTAAACAAACCGGGAGTCTGTTCACAGGCTATTAAGAATGGTAGAATACGTGAATTACTCAAAAACGATTTAGAATCTCACTTTGGTTCTACTAGAAGTAACATAAAGCGCCAACGTAGTCACAAAATACTCAAAATGCCGAGGCAAGGCATTTTGAGAAAAAATAGTCATCATCAATTGTTACCTACGATTAGCAGTTTTTCTCTTTTATGATGGGGAGTGCATGACAGTAGACAGGCAATGTCGTTTGTGACTATCGTACCCATAATATGACCATTATCACGATCATCATCATCATCGAACAATACACAATAAATCTTCACCAACCATCGCTAGTTGTTCACTCACCCGTAAGCCGTCTTTAATTCTTAAAATTCTTGCAGTGTATTCTTCATGGCAGCAATTCGTTCCTGAAGATTTTTTTCATCTCTTAGCTGACCAAACATTTTTTTCCCTTCTGTCTTCTCTCGCACCTTTTCTCTCCTTCACCCTCCGAAATTTCCTTTTCTCTTTCCTTATCCACCTCTTGCTCTCTTTTTTGATCAAACAATATTGATTCCCTTCCGTCTCGTTCCATTCTTCGGTTTCCGACCTTTGCCTACAAACTGTGCAGTAATAGAGTTATTTTGAAATTGCAATATGCTAAATTAAAATCACCAGATATGTTCTATTTGATTAGAGAATAGTTTATTTATCAAATTTTTGCAAGAGAGTTAGAGAGGGATAAATAACGCCAACGACGACGTTTTTTACATTATTGAAACAAATTCCTACGAATAGCGATTCAAAAACACTTGTATCATGTGAATTATGCTCCTTCAAGACTTTAAAGCTCGAATCTTGATAAGAGTACCCCGACTCTGTCGCTGCGGTGATTACAAATTTATACCCTACCTGTTTAAGTTCACTACAATATGAGCTTCGCTTCCAAGTTTCGGCTATAGAAACTACCGAAAAATTCATGCTCTGTGGCAGCAAGTATGCGGCAAATATTTTCATGATTCTTTATTAATAGCAGAATGATGACAATAGAGTATTGGCGGCGTAGTGGCAACTGACTTCTGCGGGACCAGTATCTAACCTCTCTCTCTCTCTCCTCCCCCACGCCTCCCCCCGCCCCCCACTCCTGGTGGTAACTCCTAACTAACCCTTGCATAAGAAGGCAACGTGAGATATGCATCACAAACTCCCAACACAAGAGCCTAATCGGAAAAGTAACAAACTAAGGTAAGATTAGCTTCTGCTTTAAGACTTGAAGAATACATTTCATCCCTCAGGAAATACTTGACTCGTTTTGTATCGTTTCAACGCTATAGGAAGAGTCAAGAATCTCGAAAAAAAGAGTGTCATGGATGTGCATCCTTGCCTGCAGAAATGCTCGACTGTTGCGCGTGTTAATTTGCTTATGTTAATGAATGTTCGTTAGACCAAAACACCCGTTTTCCTTTGGCTCCCGTCCCTCATTTGTTTATTCGCCTTATCCCTAAACGGAGGTTTAGTAAGGCTATCATCAGTAGCCTGGGTAGAATCAGATTCAGCATGAGCCGCGTAAAGGTGTGAAGGAAAAATCAATGGGTACATGTTGATTAAACAAAATCCGAAATCCAACAAGAGTTGTTACACAGACAACAGAGCCTGTTTCTCACGAAATACAAATTGAACAGTTTCTGCAGACGGCTTCTACTCTTTTAGTATACTACGAGCAGTCTCCAAGCCAGTGAGGTAGCATCCGTAACATGCCGCCCCCTCCGGGGGGCAATCAAGGAAACTAAGTTCCGCTCGCGCGGTATGCACTACAGTCGAATCTCGCCTTGTGGACACCCTGCTATAACGGACACCCTGACAATACGGACAGTAGCTAAATCCCCTCTAAAAATATATTAGAGATGTTTGATTGCAATACACTTCAGCTATTACGGATTCTCGCTAATGAGGTCACCAACTCAAGGTCCCCACAGAGTCCGCTATGAAGGGAATTGACTGTATATCAGACTATCTTTGAAAGACAAATAGACTAAGAGATCTAACTACGAGATAAACTATGTATAACAAATAATCTCAAGAAGAACAGCTGCGTAAATAATTATGGTATGGTTTTATTGCTGATAACAAATTAGGGGTGTTATGAAATGAAGTGTGTACAATATTGCAGGTATTAACCAGCGCATCCTAAGTTACCAATTTTGTAGGGTATTTATTCAATTATCTTGATGCAGTCGTCACAATAATCAGACACTACTATCCTACCATCAGTCAAGACAGCGGTAGAGATTGGTCCAATAAACTCTTCAATCCTATCGCTCATTAGTCCAAACTCTGTAATGAACTCTCCACTCAGTTCCAATATCTGAACTCTGTCATTCGCAGAATCACAGACCATAAGGTGCCCTGCTTTGTCAACAGACAAGCAACGGGGCCTATTGAATTCCCCATCCCCTTCCCCTTCCCCTTCATTCCCGAATTTATACAGAAAATCACCGTCTGTATTAAACACTTTGATACTGTGATCACCTGGGTCTGATACTATGAAATATTGATCCTTCTGAATACAGTGGCAGGGATCAACTAATAAATCTTCTCCACCAAACTTTCTAAGAAACTGGCCGCTTGGAGTGAAGATCTTGATTAGTTTGTTATTTGAATCAGCAACAATAATATTACCATCACTATCTATAGACAAACCCCATGGATAGACAAACTGGTGATAAAGATTTCCTTCACCGCCAATTTGAATAAGATACTCGCCCCGCTCAGTGAATATTTGCAGTCGGTTGTTAATACTGTCAGCCACTACAATGTTTCCACTATTTAAATAAGCTATACCTGTAGGGTTATCAAACTCTCCCTCTTGATCACCCATACTGCCAAAAGACCTTAAGTAAGTTCCATCACTACTAAATATCTGAACTCGGTTATTATAACGATCAGTTACAGCAATTTCATTACGTTCATTCACCGCCACACCCCAAGGTCCATTAAACATTCCAGCAGATGAGCCTTCTCCTCCAAATGACAACACAGGTTTGTATTGCCTGGGTTTAACTTGAACAGTGAACGGACTGCCACTAACATGTTCTTCATTTACCATCACTGATGCCTGGCATGTTCCTGCTTCTTTGGCAAAGTAGCTGATATTGTAACTGCCATCTTTGTTATCTTGAACTTGTGCTTCAGTGGCGCATTCACGGCCGTTATCATTTCTGATTTCCATTGTAACGACATCACACTGTTCGTAGCATTGTTCATTCTTAGCATTTAGTGTCGTTAAAACAAACTGTGCTTTAAGTCCAACAGTCACCTTAGTGAGTCCTTTTCCTTCCGTTTTTGAATTTCTCGATTTAGTCTGGCTGCTGATGATTTGTTCCAAAGAACCAACACCTTCACTGTTTGCTTTAGCCATCAATGATTTGTTTGGAAAGAACACAAAGTGGCGAAGATCCTTACGGTCGCAGTCGACTAGTTCTGCCTCGCCAGCGACTTCCTCCTGGATTACGGTGTTAAACTGCACAATCTCAGCATTTGTGCTTCGCTTTAAGAATCTTTCCTTTTCTTCAACTGATGTCTCGATCCGCCGTAATTTGTATTCAACCTCAGACTGTTGCGCTAGCAGATGCTCGATCACCTCTTGAGCTTTGTCTTCAACGTCTTTAAACAGCTCCTGTTTCTTCGCTTCAAAGACTTTCATTAAATTGTCAATAAAACTCTGAGCGCTTTTCTTCACGCAAGCGACCTGTTCTTGAATTTCATTGCACTCACTTTGTAGTCTGGTGATCGTATTTCTCATCTGAAGAGCCTTTTCTTTCTGAGTTTCCATCGCGGACTGTAGACTTGACTTTCGTTCATTGGCAACATTCTGGAGAAGCAACTTAGCGTGACCTTCGTGGAGTGTTATAGCACAAGTATTGCAAATGGCGTTTTCACAGTTTTTACAAAAGAACTTCAGCTCTTCGCTTTCGTGATGTTCTATTTGGCAAAATACTGGCCTTTTTAACACGTCTTCAATGTCTTGATCTTGAAAATCCTTAATCGCTAGCACCCGGTGGTCTTTATTGGCTCGGATAATGTTATGAGCTGCAATGCAATCGTCGCACCAGAAGGCGCAACATTTAAAGCAATAGAAACTTTTAGCGCTTGTTTTGTCGCAGTTTCCACACTTCACTCCAAGGACGTTACATTTTTGAATAGCCATTACATCCAACAAACTGTTCATTCGAAAGTTGGCCGGTAAATCTTTAGGATAACCACTCCCGGGAACTTGAAACTTTCTGCGACATTCCGGGCATGTAATCTCGCCATGCTTGCCACTCGTTCTTTGAAGCTCGTTTAAACAATGAAGGCAAAATGTATGAAAGCACGGCAATATTTTTGGATCAGTGAACGGGCTCATACACACAGAACAGGACACTTCTTCATGTAGGTTGTGTAATAAGGTTTGTAAATCCATGACCGAATTTGCAAAGCTGGCAAAGAGAATTAACAAGGTTTGAATGAATGCGCCCCGAAGTTGTTATCTGTATTAATTGCCCCTTTGCACCTCAGGCAAAAGACAACACCAACCAATCATGAGGTATTGTTTGACATGTTTTGACTATCCGTAACGTCTAAGAAAGGACTTCCGATTTTTATAGGAATTGAGATTAAACCCCTTGACCCCCAGGAAGTGAGGACAAAACATGAACAAGGGGTCCATGGACCCCCCATTTTTGACCGAGTCCATGGATAGCCCGAGTATCAGGCCTTCCTAAGGGGGTGGGCTTCTCCCCCAGAAACGCCTGATACTCAGGCTAGTCCATGGACAACTTATATGGACCGGGTCCATGCCCCCCTCAAAAAACATAAATCAATAAAGAAGGAGAAATGAACAGTAAATAAGGTCGTGTTAGTGACAATTTCAAGGTTGGCTAGTCGTTTTGACCGGTTAAGTGGACGGCTTTCAAATAATAGCATGCGAACGGCAGGCGTTTCTCCTCGCTCATCGCCGCTGAAGGACGTTTTTATTCAAATAAATACTAGAATAATAAAATTACATGGTGTTTACGCATGAATTCTGGAAATTACAAAACTGTTAATCGTAAAACACTTTAGCTGCAATCACAAATTTGGAAAATACAGATAAGACGGGCCACATTGCGCGGCTTTGTGATTTGTTAAATTAAAACAGAATCATCTATGCAGACGGAGCAATATTTTTGTCTTAATTAGCTATTATTTTAAAACAATTATTTATTTCACTGGTCCACAGATGACCGAGCAAAATTTTGTTGACCGGCCTCTGTCAAAAAGTTATTTTGAGCCCTGTATCTTGTTTGCTATTTATTTTGTTTACAGGTTGTTTATTTATAACACTGTCACACAAGGGGAAATTTCTTCGTGCTTCAGAAGTTATTTCTCGGGTAACAAAATGAGAAGGGTAGGAGGGCATGATCCAGAACAAAAGTCAATTTAATTGTATAAGGAAAAAAGACAACAGCAAAAAGAAAAAAATATCCACAATTAACGCTGAGCAAACACTTACCATTAGAGTCATACAGCCAGGCTATAAGCATACATCATCATCATTTTGTATAAATCTATCATCTAAGCAGGTGTAAATATTGATTATCAACACCTCTTAACCTTATTTTTGCACTATTTTTGTGGGTTGAAGCCAGCCATAATGTTTATTGATCATTTATACTTTCAACTCCTTCGTAAAGAAAAAGTATCTATGGACCCGGCCCAAAATGGGGGGTCCATGGACCCCGGGTCCATGTTTTGTGTCCACGTAACTGGTCAAAATGAAAGGCCAACCCAGAACTTGTCCCTGAGTTTGTCACTAAAACTATAATATTGTTGGAAAATGTTTATTTGCATCTTGTTTATTGTTCATTTCTCCTTCTTAATTTTTTTTTGAGGGGGCGCATGGACCCGGTCCATTACAGGGGGTCCATGGGCCCGGCCCATATAAGTCATCCATCGACCCGATCCAAAATGGGGGGTCCATGGCCCATGACTGGAATCTGAGAAAATTAATCATTGATGATGAATGATGAATGAATGACGGCAAAATAGGATAAAGTGGACAGAGAAGGCATCCCCCATACACACCCTATTCCATAGGTAATTCGTCTCGAGTTATTTTTAAGACCACAGATCCCAAGGGGGATTAGAAAACAGCCAATCAAATAGCGCGAATGTGTTCCGCGTGGATGACCCACGCTCAGAGCCACGCGTCCTTCACGAATTGACGCAGAACAAAATGGTGGAAGACTCGAAGAGCGATATTGCTATTTGTTTTGTCGACAAAAACGACTACAGAGAGATTTCTGCTAAAGCTGTGTCAGCGAAACGGAAATTAAAAAAGAATCGCCCTTCCTCTCTTGTATAGACCTAACACCACAGCAGGGAAATCCTTAACACACTGAATATTCTCCCAGGATCATTTATAATTTACAGTTTGAAGAAAGCAATTTCTGGTTTGATATTTATTCTTTCATTAATCTTTTATTATTCAACAAAAAATAACACTTGGCGTCCTACTTGCTTATTGTACAAACGACCGGTTTCTACAGACCGGCAAAATTTCTCATTTTATTAAAGCACTGAGGTTACGACAACTTCGACTTAAACTGATTTCACGGGTTGTCAAAAAGTCTAGCGATTCCCTTTTCCCAGGTAAGCGCCGACTCATTCCGCTTCAATATTCAGAAATGCTCTCGATCTCTTTACGCTTTCATTGCCTTTCGCCCGACATGTTTTACACGGCGTTTAGTCATGCGAAAACTCCACGAAACATCCACGCAGCGCGCGAGGTAACTTTATCCCGATTCTAAAAGTAACTAGAGACGAATAACCTATGCAATAGGGTTTGTATGGGGGATGTCTTCTCTGTCCCCTTTATCCTCTCTTGATGACGGTGAAAGCAGTAAAGTCGACGCTTTACATAGGCTTCACTTGACCTATTGGCCGTTTTCTCACTATTCAAAACGTTACTAAAGGACAATGGGCAACGTTGAACTCAGAATGTATAATTATTTGAATGAAATAATTTCAATTTCAATTTTTTTTTTTGCACTACAGTGGAACCCCGATTTACAGACACCCACTTAATAGGGCCATTTATACGAGGAAAAATAAGACGCGAACTTTCCGTATAAACGAGACATTTCGTCTAAAATAAGACGCGGCTTAGCTAAGACGCGTCTTATTAGATAAGACATGCTCGTATAAATGGTACAGTTCGCGTCTTATTTAAGACGCGTCTTATTTTTCCTCGTATAAATGGCCCTAATATGGACTCCCGTAAATAATGGACTGTTTCGTTTGTTCCGACACTGAAAAATCTCATATCCTCACCCAGGAAGTGAAAGAGTAGGGCCATT